AATGGCCACAAGCTGAAACACAAGAAGTTCCGTCTCCAGATGAGGAGCAACTTCTTTACTGTTAGGGTGACAGAGCAGTGGAACAGGCTGCCCAGGGAGGTTGCAGAGTCTCCTACTCTGGAGGTCTTGAAAACCCGCTTGGATGCCACCCTGTGCCACATGCTCTAGGTGTGCCTGCTTGAGCAGGAAGGTTGGACTAGATGATCTGTAGAGGTCCCTTCCAACCTTAAATATTCTGTGAATCTGTGAATCTGTGATCTCTCGAAGATGATGGAGAACAGCTGAGCAATAACCCCCGCCAGTTGCCTCAGCACTCTTGGGTTCATCCCATCGGGGCCCATAGATGTCTGTGTGTACAGCTTGCCTAAATAATCCCTAACCCAATCCCCCTCGACCAGAGAAAAGTCTTCCTCCCAGTTTTCTCTCTTGCCTCCAGGCTCTGTAGTTCTTGGGGACCAGCCTTAGCAGTAAAGACAGAAGCCAAGAAGCCATTTAGTAACTCTGCCTTCTGTGCTCGCTCTGTCACCAAGGCACCCTCCCCATTCAGCAGCGGACCAGTGTTTTCCCTAGTCTTCCTCTTGCTGCTGATGCAGTTACAGAAGCCCTTCCTGTTGTCACTGACATCTCTTGCTAACTCTAGTTCCCAACAGGCTATAAGAGGCTATATGGGGCTGTAAGGGGCAATACGGAGCAGTATGGGGCAGCAAGGCATCGCCAGGAGGCAAAACCATCTTTAATATAAAATAAATTACGAGCCAGCTGGAAGCACCAGGGTTCGTCGGGGTGGGCCTGGGGATGGAGGCTCTGAGGGAACCGTAGTGGTGTCCTGGGGGTACACGGCTGTGTCCCGGAGTGCCATTGCGGTGTCCCGAGGTGCCACGGCTATGTTCTGGGGTGACCCGGTAGTGTCCCGGAGTGCCATCGCGGTGTTGTGGAGTGACATCACGTTGTCACGGCGTGCCATGAGAGTGTCCCAGGGTTCCGTCACGGCTGTCACGGCGGTGTCGCAGGATGCTGTGGCAGTGTCAGGAGGTGACATGGTGGTGTCGCGGCGTGCCATCGCAGTGCCTCGGGGTGATGTGGCAGTGTCTTGGAGTGACGTGGCAGTGTTGCATGGGGACACAGCAGTGTTCCGGGGTACCATCGCAGTGCCCTGGGGGGCCACGGCAGTGCTGCGGTGTGACACAGCAGTGCCACGGGGTGACACAGCGGTGTCCCAGGGTGCCACCACGGTGCCCCAGGGTGCCATGGCAGTGTTGCGGGCTTGCACAGCGGTGTCGCGGGGAGCCATTCTGGTGTCCCGAGGTGCCGTGGCGGTGCCATGGGGTGCCATGGTGGTGTCCAGGGCTGCCATCACGATGCCGCGCGAGGGCACAGCGGCACAGGCAGCGCAGCACTTGCGCTCGTAGTAGGGGTGAACGCAGAGTCCAGCTCGTGCCATGGCCATGCAGCCCACGAGCTCGTCCCGGCAGCCACTGCCTGCACGGGGGACACTGAGGCCGGGACCCCGGGCACCACCGGGCGCTATATGGGAGGCGCCAAGGCATCCAGGAGCTCACCGTGTGCACAGGGCCGGTCGTTGCAGGGCCGCTGGCGCGCGGGCCGCAGGCGGGGTGGGCACTGAGTGCTCAGGGTCTGGTTGGGGGCCAGACAGTGCACGGCGCGGGCCTGCACCCCACCCTGGCACGAGCGGGAGCACTGGGGGCAAGGGCAGAGCTGGCGGACTGGGGACTCCGCGGACATGGATCTGTAGGGCTGAAGGGCCCATGGGACCCTATGGACAAGGGTATATGGGGCTAGGGGGTACAGGGGACCCTATAGGCAGCGATCCATGGGGCTAGGGAGCACAGAGGTCCCCAAGGACAAGGGTCCATAGGGGTAGGGAGCCCAGGGCACACCCTAGGTAGGGTGCCATAGAGCAGGTCTCTATGAAACAGGTCTCTATGGAGCAGGGCTCCATGCGGCAGGGTGCCATGGAGCTGGGGTCTATGGGGCTGATATCCATGGGGCAGGGTGCTATGGAGCAGGGCTCTATGGGGCAGGGCTCTATGGGGCAGCTATGGGGCAGAGTTCTACGGGTCAGGGGCTCCCTTGGACAGGGCTCCATGGGACAGTTCTGGGGCAGAGCTCCATGAGGAAAGGTGACATGGGGCTGGGGCCAGTGGGGCTGGGATCCATTGGGCATAGGTGCCATGGGCGGCTATGGGGCTGGGCTGCACGGCACTCACGGCGCTCCAGGTGCTGACGAACCAGCGGGGGCGGCAGATGGTGCCTGTGCAGGGCTGTAGGCCAGGGGGCCGGGGCTGCCCCTCGCAAGCAGCCGTCGCTGCCACAGCCACCCGGGCACCCCGCCGACCCACGCAGAGCACGTCGCGGTGCTGCTCACCCGGCCCGCACTCTGCTGAGCACTGCAGGGACACACAGGATACCACCCTGGTGTCACTCCAATGCCACCACAATGTCACCCCAGTTTACCCTCAATGCAACCCCAATGCAACCCAGTTCAATCCCAATACAATCACAGTGTCACCCCTTTGCCACCCTAGTGTCATCCCAAGGCAACCCCAGAGGCACCCTGTTGCCACCTCAATTCAGCTCAAGTGTCTTCCCAGTACGACCCCCCATTGCAACGCCAGTGCCATTCTGGTGTCACCCATGTTGCCACCCTACCTAGCACATCACTGATGCCACCCCCCATAGCGCCGTAATGTTACCTCCAGAGCACCCCACTGCCACCCCAAGTCCCTGCAATGTAATCCCCCCTACCATTGTGCCCCCAGTGCTGCTGGACACTCACCGGGCTCCATGGCCCTGTGAACCAGTGGTGCGCATGGCCACAGGGCATTTGGTGACAGGGGCGCGTGGCAGGAGGACGAGGACCCTCACACGCTCCCGGTGATGGCCCTGCCAGGCACAGGACTGTGCGTCGCTGCTCGCCCGGCCCGCACACCAGCGGGCACTGTGGGACACAGAGTGGGTCAGCGGGGTCTTAGCATCCAGACATACATCCAGACAGGTAGCAGCCATGCACCTGGACATGCACCCAAGGCAGCACCCGGACACACACCCAGCTCTGTACCCGGGCATGCACCCAGAGCAGCACCCGGACATGCACCCAGAGCAGCACCTGAATCAGCACCCAGCCCCAAACTCTGCACCCAGCCCCAAACTCTGCACCCAGCCCCATGTGCAGCCTCACGTACAGCCCAGCACCCTGCAGCCCTCCTCGCCCAGCCCTGCATCAGACCCCAGCCCCCAGCTTAGCACCCAGCCCCACATGTAGCCCCATACACAGCTCAGCATCTTGCACCCAAATCTGCACTCAGCTGGGCACCTTGCACCGAGCCCTACAGGCAACCCCACATGCACCCCATCACCTTGCACCCTTTCTGCTCTCATCCCTGCCCCATCCCTGTCCCTACACCCATCCCGGTGCCCATCCCTGTCCCTGTTCCCATGTCCCTCCCCATCCCCATGCCCGTCCCCATCCCTGTCCCCTTCCTGTCCCGTACTGTGTCACTCCAGTCACTGTGAAGCCAGAGGCGGGCGCAGGGCCCCATGTTGCAGGGCTGGCGTGCAGGGGGCCGTGGCGGGGGGCACGCAGCCTCGCTGTGCATGGGGCCCTGGGTGCTCACACAGCGCACGGCCCGGCTGCGCTGGCCCTGCCCGCAGGGCACCGAGCACTGCGGCACAGCCATCACCACACGCTCCAGGGACACCCAGGGGTCCCCATGACACCCAGGGGTCCCCATAACACCCTTAGTTTCATCTGTGCCACCATAGGTCCCTGTGCCACCCAGGGATCCCTGTGCCACCCTGGGTCATCCATGCCACCCTGGGCATCCTGGTGATACTCTGGATCCCTGTCCCACTCTGGGGTCTCTGTGCCCCCCAGAGGTCCGTGTGCCACCCTAGGTTCCACTGTGGCACCCCAGGGGTCCCTGTGGCACCCTAGGGTTCCTGTAACATCCCCGGGTCCCTGTGTCACTCTGCAGTCCACGCATCATGCCAGGGTGCCCAGACCTAGGCATGCACCAGTTCTCTGTCCTGGCACTGGAGTCAGTGGACAGTGGAGAGTCCTGGAGCCCCATCCCAGTCCCGGTGCCCCCTACCCATCCCCGTGCCCAGTACCAGCCCCAGTGCCCCATCCCATTGCTCCGTACCGTGCTCCAGGGACTCTGCACCTCCCAGCGACCACAGGCTGGCAGAGGACAGGACCGCGTGGCAGCGGGTGGCAGGCGGGAGGCGCAGCGTGCAGCGGGGGCCGGGTGGCCGCGCAGGTGGCACCGCACATCCCGCTGCTGCGTGCCCACCCCACATGAGCCGCTGCAAGGGGACCACGCGCCCGCTCTCCAGCTGTGGGGACGAGATAAGCTGCAGCCCGCGGTGAGGACACGCGTATAGGGGGCTGTGCTGGGGACGTGGATGTGCTGGGACGTGGATGTACTGGGACGTGGATGTGCTGGGAGGGACACGTGTGTGCAGGGTACACCCGTGTGTGGGGGACACCCGTGTG